TGGCCCCCCAGTCGCCCCCCAGCCACCCTCAGCAGCCCCCCCTCCGCCTGGACCTCGTGGACACAGCCGTGGTCGCCCGGCATCGCCCCCGGGGACCCGAAAGCCCCCCCAGCAACCGCTACGCCGGCGACTGGAGCATCGAGCTGGGGAGATACGAGGAGGTGACGAGCGGCGACAGTCGTGTCGCGAATCGCCGGACCCTTATCGTGACCGATTTTGGTCTCGGCGACGAAAGCGATTCGTCGTTCGCTCCGATGCTTAACCTCAAAGACTTCGATGCTCTCATCCTCGACCTCGAGAGGGAGTTGGCCAAACAGATCAACGTCTGTCTGTGATGCCGGTACCGAGCAAAACGACACCGGTACCGAGCCAACGACACCGGCACCGAGCAAACGACACCAGCACCGAGCAAATGGCACCGGTACCAACAACACCGGCACCGAGCAAATGACACCGGCACTGAGCAAACGACAGCAGCACCGAGCAAACGACACCGGCACCGAGCAAACGACACCGGTACTGACAACACTGGTACCAACAACACCGGCACCGAGCAAACGACACCGGTACCGAGCAAACGACACCGGCACCGAGCAAACGACACCGGCACCGAGCAAACGACACCGGTACTGACAACACCGGTACCGAGCAAAACGACACCGGCACCGACAACACCGGTACCAACAACACCGGCACCGAGCAACAACAACACTGGCACTGAGCAAATGACACCGGTACCGAGCAAACGACACCGGTACCAACAACACTGGCACCGAGCAAACGGCACCGGCACTGAGCAAACGACACCAGCACCGAGCAAACAACACCGGCACCAAGCAAACGACACCGGTACCAACAACACCAGTACCGAGCAAACAACACCGGTACCGAGCAAATGACACCGGCACCAACAACACCGGCACTGAGCAAACGGCACTGGCACCGAGCAAAACGACACCGGCACCGAGCAAACGACACCGGCACCAACAACACCGGCACCGACAACACCGGCACCAAGCAAAACGACACTGGTACCAACAACACCGGCACCGAGCAAACGGCACCGGCACTGTGCAAACGACACTGGCACCGAGTAAACGACACCGGAACCAACAACACTGGCACCGAGCAAACGACACCGGTACCAAGCAAAACGACACCGGCACCGAGCAAATGACACCAGTACCAACAACACCCGCACCGAGCAAAACAACACTGGTACCAACAACACCGGCACCGAGCAAACAACACCGGCACTGTGCAAACGACAGCGGCACCGAGCAAACGACACCGGCACTGAGCAAACGACACCGGCACCAACAACACCGGCACCGTGCAAACAACACCGGTACTGAGCAAACGGCACCGGCATCGAGCAAACGACACCAGTACCAACAACACCGGCACCGAGCAAACAACACCGGTACCGACAACACCGGCACCGAGTAAATGATACCGGCACCGAGCAAACGACATCGGCACCGAGCAAATGACACCGGTACCGACAACACCGGTACCGAGCAAACGACACCGGCACCGAGCAAATGACACCGGCACTGACAACACCGGTACCGAGCAAACGACACCGGCACTGAGCAAACGACACCAGCACCAAGCAAACAACATCGGCACCAATCAAACGACACCAGCACCAACAACACCGGTAACGAGCAAAACGACACCGGCACTGAGAAAATGACACCGGCACCGTGCAAACAACACCGGTACCGACAACACCGGTACCAAGCAAATGACACCGGCACTGAGCAAACGACACTGGCACCGAGCAAAACAACACCGGCACCGAGCAAACGACACCGGATCAGGAAAAAAAACCCAAAAAAAACCCGACACCGGCACCGTCGAGTGAGCGACCAAAAAAAACCCCAAAAATCGGCACTCGCCTTCGTTTGCCTTGGGTTTGCACAGCGACAGACGGAAGGGAAGCCGGCAGCAGGAGGTGATGGAGCCTTTGTGGGACCCCAGACCCACCGGGTTGGACCCCCCACCCAACCCCCGTT